TCATCAAATTAAGGGCTGAATCCTAGAAATTGAGCCGGATTTTGCCACGTTAAATTCTTTACATAAAATGTGTGTTTTAGATTAGGCCGGTGGCCGATCTCGGGGGGGACCCTTTCCAAAGTGTGGCCGCGACTAAACTCTGGAGGGGCCATTGCCTAAGATGTGGAAGAGTGGGCACACGAGAGGAACGGCCCTGTTTTGCTGCAGAATGTGGCTTTGGCTGGCTTCGGCCAGAAAAAGACCCTGGGACTTAAGTCGCAGCACACGAGAGGAACGGCGCTGTTTTGCTGCAGAATGTGGCCCCGACCGCTCTGGGCACACACGAGCACTCGAGGGTCTATTTTTTAATCCGGGGGTACGAGGGTCCACTTTAGGGTTTTTCTTATTCAGTTTTTTTACGGAATACTTGTATTCAGGTACCGAACTTACTTGTAAATGGATGTAATTATGCTTGTAATTACCATTTACTCTGTAAAGACTAGAGAGTCTTCTGTTATCTTCCGGGTACAGGGTGCAATACGCTCCTGTGCGTAATAAGGCTTACGCTGAGCATTCAGGCTTACGCTTTTGAGTTTGGGGTTTGGGGTTTAGGGTGCCAGTTTTTTGGGGCTCGGGGTTTGAAGAGAAGAAACCTTCTAGACTGCTAGGGCCTGCGAGACTTAGGTTATGCCCGGAGATTAAGCTTCAACACCCCCTAAACCCTAAACCCTGAACCCTAAAACCCTAAACCCTAAACCCCAAACCCTAAACCCTAAACCCTGAACCCTCAACCCTGAACCTTCGGGCCCAGGGTTTACGGACTTCAGCCTTCCATCCTCGCTTGTCTGGAAGGCCACGTGGCTTCGTGGTATCGTGAGGGCCTGGCCGGAATTGAGGGCCTCTCCTGCATCGAGCAGAGGCCAGTGGTTTCGGGTTCCGGACTCGCTGGTGTCTTTGTTGTTCCTAATATGATCATTGTCTCATCTGCCAGCAAAACCTCCCGATATTCACGATTCAGCATAGGTTTGGGGGCTGGTACACCCCAAACCTCCCAAACCCCTGAAGCCCGAAAACCATAAACCCCAAACCCTGTACCCAATACCCCAGACCCCATCCATAGTCCATAAGCCCTCGCAAGCCAGCTGTCTGCTTGCGAAGCAGAGGCTTCACACCATCCACCTAAGCCTTAGCCGTAATGGAGAGATCTGTAGAACTAGCAAGGGTATGCCTTTGTTTTTATCGTCACTTGCCTAGTTTTCTACAGCATACCCCAAAACTCGGTGCTGTCAAACCTTAACGGTAGAGCCCCGGAGGCAAGTCGATGCCCCGTGGGTCTTCGGTGTGGAGACGCGGGATCGGAAGAACCGGGATGCACTCCGCGACCACCTTGCAGCCCACGGCATTGAGACCAGGAGCAAAACCTAAACCCTAAACCCTCAAGCCCCTAAACCCTAAACCCCTAAACCCTAAACCTAAACCCCTAAACCCTAAACCCCTAAACCCGAAACCCCCTAAACCCGAAACCC